GGTTGTGGTTTCGTACCTCTAACCTGGAACCCGGGAGGGCCACAGGAGGATCCCTGGGACTTGCTGGCCAGAAATTAGTCATCTCCAGATTGAGTGAGAAAGGACGGTGCAGAGGGATTGCAAAGACCTGATGACAGCCTTCCTCCCTCCATGTTTCAAGTGTATCCAGCTACCTATCCCCGTTGGCATGGGCCCTGTCTCCTGAGCCCCTCTCCTTGCCCGCTCCCTCGTTTTGAGATGTGTGGTCCCTTGAATCCTGCGTGGGGTGACTGCGATGAGCCGGCCCCATTTGCACTGTTAGTGTGGTGCCAGGCATGGTTTGAGCTGGTGTCTGCTAGACAAGCTCTCTGCCCATCGAGCCCATGCCCTGGCTGTGACGTCTTTTCTTGAATTAGGCTGCTTCTCATTTGTATTCAAGGCCCTTTCATGATGCTTCAGGGACAGGGTTCAAAGTTTTCAAAAACATCTTTTTGTTTGTTTGTTTGTTTGTTTTCTGCCCATGCTAAGCATAGTTCTTTGTCTTTCTGATTGAAAAAGCTTGCTGGGTGGTGGTTTTGGCACTCACCTTTAATCCCAGCACTCAGAAGGTAGAGGCAGGTGGATCACTGTGAGTTCCAGGACAGCCTGGTCTACAAAGCAAGTTCCAGGACAGCCATGGCTGTTACACAGAGAAATCCTGGCTGGAAAACTAAAAAATAAATAAGAGCTCACGTTCACCTGGATTTTTACTTTTTGGTCTTCACTAGTAAAAAGATAGGGATACACTAACAAGGTAAGGGGCATTCCCAGCTTGTGTCTCTTAGTCCTCACAGAATCCAGCCTTTGGATGAAGGCCTGACCAACTTTTTCCTTTTGTCTGTGATACTTCATTTTCTTTCTGTGTGACTGCTGGGGCCTGGCTGCTACAGCTTCAACTGCAGTTTACTGTCAGTCTTGGGTGTTTTGTTTGTTTGTTTTGACAGGATCTCTCTCGATATATATCCCTGGCTGCCCCAAAACTCACTATATGCATTTATCTTTTTGTTCTTTAAGATGGCATCTCACAAAAAAAGATGGCATCTCACAAAAAAGATGGCATCTCACATTAGCCCAGGTTAGCCCCCAAATTGTTATGTACCTGAGGATGATCCTTCTCTGTTCAGCTGTAAGGGACCAAATAGGTTTAATGAGCTCATTTCTCGTCTGTTGCCACAGACCTTGTGTCTTCTCTCCTGTGGCCCTGGAAGGGATGGTCTGGTGTGGTCTTTGCCCTGTTTGATTCTGAGCTGTCCCAGCCTTAGACTCCAGTCAGTGTCATTGTCATCTGTCTCAGGGTCTTACAAGTGCTTGCCAGGAAGGGGGTGCTGAGGGATGAAAGGCTGGACTGGCCTTTTCCTGTTCAGATCTTTAATGATCAAAATGGTCTTTCAGATACAGCTCATTGCCCAACTCCAGCCCAGGCCAGCCCAGTCCAGGCTTGTTCAGGCCAGCCCAAGCCAGCCTAGGCCAGCCCAGGCCAGGCCAATCCAATCTTGCTCAGGCCAGCCCCAGTGTTTTGGACTCTGTGTCAAACACAGTAAGTGTAACCCCCAGGATTTAAGAATTCAGCTGGATGTAGTGGCACAAGCCTTCAATCCCAGCTGTCAGTAGGCAAAGACAGGTGGATTTCAATGAGTTCAAGCACAGCCTAATTTACTTAGCAAGTTCCAGGTCAGCCAGGGCTGAAGAGTGAGACCTTATTTCAATAAAGAAAAGAAAAAGCAATTCAGCCAATCTTCTGCTCCAGGATCCTAGAATGGGTGAGGTTTCAATCGCTTCCAAATCATAACTACAATCTGTCCTGCAACAGAGTCTGAACTTCTGGGCAGATCCATGCTGTTTAGTTCCCAAGTTCCTCCAGCCCACTTGTTCTGGAAGCCTGCACTTTGGGGCCTCAAATATGCCTGTTTTGAGCTGGGCTGTGCTAGCCGCCATTCAGGGGAGACTGATTGTCCATGATCTGTAGCATTCACTGGTTTCCGTAGAGTACACATGCCTAGCATTGCTGAGCAACTACACCACATGGATGTCACTGAACGTGGAGTAGAAGAGACACACCTAATTGGGCTAAAGCCATCTGTAAAATGCTATTATTTTGCACACTTTTCAGAAGGGCACTTCTAGTGAGTTGAGGAACTGAAAAGGTGAGCTGATTGGGTAAATTCTGGACAGACCTGGGCAACGGGCATGGCTCAATGAACGGATGGCAGGTGGCTTTCTCCCACAGGGTTTATTAAGCGGGAATGTGAGCCCATCAGCCACCTTCACGGTGTGTCTTTGTGCACTGCACAGTCAGCACAACTTTACATGATGGTCCAGACTTGAATTAGTAGCCACTTGTAATTAAGTAAAATGGATGAAATGGAACAACAGCAGCAGCCTGGAAATCATTGTATTTGATAGTCAGAGCATAATAACACCGGTTGGAACATCAGTGGTTCTTAAAATGAACCCAATTAATTGAAGGCTATTATTGCCACAAAAAGCCTCCAATTATACCAATTCAAAGGACAAGCATATCAATATATAGAAAACAACCTGGGGATAGGCTAACACTACACATTTTGATTTGAGCTCATTAAACATTTTTATTTTGGTAACTTAAATCCTTAGATACTGTGAATATTTTTATTTGTTTAGTGTGTATATGTGTGTGTGCTCAAAGGACAGCTTGGGGGAGAGGGTTGTTCCCTCCACTGTGTGTGTGGGTTCCAGAGATCAACTTGTCAAGTGTGGTGACAAGTGCCTATACCTGCTGAGTCACTCTGCCAGCCCAGTACTATGCTATTTGACAGGCTGGCTTTCATACCCTGTGGTTAATCTTGTCAATCTAATGAGATTTCATCACCCAGAAAATACTTCTGAGTGTGTCTATGAGGGCATTTCCAGAGGAGTTAGGAGGAGGGAGCACTCACCCTGAATGTGGACAGCACGATCCACTGTCTGGGGACCTGGACCCAGGACAAAAAGAAAAGCTCACCAGAAGCATCAACCCTGCATCCTCACAGCAGATGCAGTGACATTGACCCCACATCCTCACTGCAGATGCAGTGACATCAACCCCGCATCCTCACTGCAGATGCAGTGACATCAACCCCGCATCCTCACTGCAGATGCAGTGACACTAATCCCGCATCCTCACTGCAGATGCAGTGACACTAATCCTGCTTCCTTACTGCAGATGCACTGACATCAACCCCGCATCCTCACTGCAGATGCACTGACACCAACCCTACATCTTCACTGTAGATGCAGTGACATCAACCCCACATCCTCACTGCAGATGCAGTGACCCCAACCCTACATCTTCACTGCAGATGCAGTGACATCAGCCCTGCATCCTCACTGCAGATGCAGTGACACTAATCCTGCATCCTCACTGCAGATGCAGTGCCATCGACCCCGTATCCTCACTGCAGATGCAGTGACATTGACCCCGTATCCTCACTGCAGATGCAGTGACATTGACCCCGCATCCTCACTGCAGATGCAGTGACATCGACCCGTATCCTCACTGCAGATGCAGTGACATCAACGCTGCATCCTACTGCAGATGCAGTGACATCGACCCCGCATCCTCACTATGGATGCAGTGACACTAATCCTGCATCCTGACTGGAGATGCAGTGACACCAACCCCGCATCCTCACTGTAGATGCAGTGACACTAGCCCCGCATCCTCACTGCAGATGCAGTGACATCAACACTGCCTGCTCACTGCAGATGCAGTGACACTAACCCTGCATCCTCACTGTAGATGCAGTGACACTAACCCACTTCCTCCCCCGCATCCTCACAGCAGATGCAGTGACATCAACCCCGCATTCTCACTGCAGATGCAGTGACACTAACCCCACATCCTCACTGCAGATGCAGTGACACTAACCCCACATCCTCACTGCAATTGCAGTGACACTAACCCCACATCCTCACTGCAGATGCAGTGACATCAACCCCACATACTCACTGCAGATGCAGTGACACTAACCCTGCTTCCTCACTGCAGATGCAGTGACACTAACCCGCATCCTCACTGCAGATGCAATGACATCAACCCCGCATCCTCACTGCAGATGCAGTGACATCAACCCCGCATCCTCACTGCAGATGCAGTGACATCAACCCCGCATCCTCACTGCAAATGCAGTGACACTAACCCTGCTTCCTCACTGCAGATGCAGTGACACTAATCCTGCATCCTCACTGCAGATGGAGACACTAACCCTGCATCCTCACTGCAGATGCAGTGCCATCAACCCTGTATCCTCACTGCAGATGCAGTGACATCAACACTGCATCCTCACTGCAGATGCAGTGACATCAACCCCACATCCTCACTGCAGATGCAGTGACATCAACCCCACATCCTCACTGCAGATGCAGTGACACTAACCCCACTTCCTCAATGCAGATGCAGTGATGGCTGCATCACATCCCTACTGCAGTGGCTTCCCTAGGTTGTACTGAACATTAACCCATAGGACAAAATAAACCCCTCATCAGGTATTTTGTCATAGCAGCAAGAAAAGTGGCTAAAATGCCCCAACTTATCATGCCAGCTACCCTGTGAAAGTGACTCTGTTTGGACAGATGAGAAGTCCACTGATTAGATAATTCAGAGTGACTCAGAAAATGGGATGAGGACCTGCCTAGTCCCATTCAAATAAAAAAGAATTATGTGTCTGCGTACCACCTATGTGCAGGAGCCCATCAGATCCCCCGGAACTGTAGTTACAGGCTGTGTGAGGCACCATGTGGGTGCTGGGAACTGAACCTGGGTCTTCTGCAGGAGCAGCAAGCAGTGTTAACCACACTTGAGTGCAGAAGCAGAGGCTAGATCACCAGAGTCGGTTCTCTCCCTTCCACCTGTGGCAGAGTGCCTTTACCTGATGAGCCATCTCCATGGTCCAGTCCCCTTTCTTCTTTAGCTGCTCTCAGTGTATACAGAGATATTTCAGCATTGTGAAATAGGCAGTGTGACATGATTTTGGTGAATATACTTTATTTTTCATAAAAAATATAATTGTACAATGCTCTTCTGAGAAAAAAACATCCTTCATTGCCCCCAAATACCATGTGGTTTAATTATCTCTCATCTTTAAAAAACAAAATATGTATTTTAAAATTTGTAACAACATGCAGCTGATTTCTGTGAAATATATTTCTTTTTGTTAATTTTACTTGCCTTTAACTAAAAGTGAAGCCCAGTATAAAACTGTATATTTTTTTATAACCAGCCAAAGCAAGCCCATCGCAGTTCAAAGATAGTAAATTCTAGATGGTGGTGCTGAGCACTGTCCACAAGGCAAACAGTGACAGGGATGGCTGCTATAAGGTTCTGATTCAGGTGTCACAGAAACATTTTAGGTAAGATAGAAAACAAATGAAGAACTTCAGCTACAGCCTAAAAGCTGACCAGACCAGATCAATTCCATATTGCACCAGTTACTCTGATATGGGGGAGGTGGGTTCTAAAATGATACAGTTGGATTGGTGTGAATTCACAAATATATTTTCTCCTTAATTTTTGAGATAAAAAGAAAAAGGAGACAAGCTCTGTTGACGGAGGCACATAGCCTCTTTCTGCCCTGGACGAAGGCCTTGGGCTCTGTCCTCTCAGCCTGCTATCCTCTGGGGAGGAAGTGCAGTTGCCTGCAGTGCCACGGGATGGAGAGGCCCTAGCTGTTGGAGTCAGGACCAGTGACTAGATGGCAGGCTTCTGAGGAAGAAGGGTAGCACAGTTCCCAGAGCAATCAACACGTCCCCCTCAAACACTAAGGCCATTCTCTTGGTTTGATTACTACAGAACACTAAAGCGATATAGGCACATGAATCAACTCGAAGCATATTCTACTTGCACTCCAAGTCCATCTCCTCTGCTCGGGGATGACCCTGCATCACAATTAGAGCCTGAGGATCATCAAGCACAGGGCAGACATTCCACTGAGGAGCCACATTCATCCTGGAATGTTTGCTTTGAAAACAACTTTCCTAGAGAATTGAAAGGTAATGAACAAAGCAACATAAAGTCATGGGCTGTTCTGCAAAGTAGAATGACTGAGTAGACCAGCTGGCAGAAACACCCCCAGGACAGTCTCAACACTATATTTGAAAACACTTAAATTCTGAAGGGTCTGAATACCAACTATCCTTTGTCTACATTTATGGTCCTAAGAAGACATTAAATACCCTTAAATGCCCATTTTCTTAAACACAGAGAATCCCAGCAAGCTGGGCTAGTGGTCTGTTGGTGGTCACACACACCTAACATGGGATCTAAGTTTGAAGCTCGAGATCAGGGATCTTGAGCTAAGGGGAGGCATCTGTTTAAATGCCTGCCAAAAGATCCGTCTCCTGTTCCATCTCACAGACAACCTGCCAGGCATATATGAACCATGGCTTGCAAGCTGCACATGCCTCAGAATAGCTAGGAATGTGTCCCAGCACAAAACTGTAAACTCACTTATAACTTTCAGTTCTCAGGCTTCAAGTCACAATGTCAAAAGGTTGGACATGCCTGAAGACTATGACACCTCCTCGCCCACTGCCAGTCCGTAGCAAACACTTCTTCTTTGGAAGCCAAGTTCCTGCCTCATCAGAGTGAGGAACAATTGTAATTTAGCAGCAACAGGGAACACAATATCTGACTGAACTAGTGAGAGTGAAGAAGTAGAGATTCCTCATCTCTCAGTGCATCCTACTATGAGCTCTGCCCCTCAAATATCACTCCCTAGCATGCAAATGCAGCTGGGATGGAGCCCATACAGAGCCACCTGCCACTCCACATGCCTGCCAGGCCCCAAGCTGCAGTGTAAGGTACAGCTCAGGGTGCCCCACCACAGTGGAGGCACAGGCCAAAGTGGGTGTAAGCACACAGTGGGCTTCTTTCTGGCTCAGAACACATTCACAAGGACACTCATGTCAAGGAAGAAATGGAGTATTCTGCTAACTGCAACAGCCATTAGCGTTGCCAGCAGGGTGCCTGTGCTCTGACAGGCAGGAAGGCAGATACTCAGTCTCAGCAGCTAGTTTCATTCTATGTTCTTAAAAAAAAAAAAAAAAATCCATGCCTTAGTTGAGTGCACAAGTAAACGTGTGTGAACACTCGCTCCTGTCTACCCCATGTATATGTAGACATACAACAGAAACACATGTGCGCACACATACTGCAGGTTAAGATAATGAATGCTACTGAAGGTTACCTTTCACCTAAAAATAAAACATGGCTAATTCTCCAAGCATGGATTTGGCCCTAGCCAACTTTCATAAACACAGTCTGAGGAAACAGCAAAAAGAGGCTGTCAGGGGCTTTCTTGTTGGGTTTCTTTTGTACATTCTTTAAAACAGGCATATCATTATGGATTATAAAAATAGAAATGTATATATCTGTTAATATATACTCACAGCTTATGCTGGAATGGCTCACAGACAATCAAACATTACTCAAGTAAATATAAAGGAGTAACATTGGGTCCATAAAGGCTGAGAACCACAGGAAACAAACAGCCTATTTGGTTTCTTTTTGCAGGGTGATTAAAAACATGAAGAGAAGTGACAACTAAACACACAAACAAATACACGAATTACATAGGAAAAATATAAATTAACCAAAAAAGCCATACGGCTAAGGTGCAAACATGCGCTTCTCATCCACTTTCCTCTATTCCTGTGGTTTCAGGCATCATAACTTGTTGACCAACATGGAGAACAATACAGAGCAGGTCTGAATGTTGGCAAATCTTCTAAGTGTTGAAAATTAAAGCAAAGGCCTTCGTGATGTATGATCACACATTTTGGTAGAAACTTCGGATTTACAGAGATGCCTACTGAGCAGTAAGCGGTAGGTGGAGCCAAGAAGCAAAGTCCTGGCCATCTGTCCTCCACAGTCATTAGACCACTAACTGCAATTTATATGCTCTTCACCCTGGACAGAAAACAAAAATACCAACATGAGAATGTTTTTAGTCATGAGGTTTGATTACTCAGTTTTAAATTCATTATTTTTTTCATTGAAAAACAGAAGGAACATTGCCAAACTCTTTTTACAAGGCTACAGTTACCTTGATACCAAAACCCACAAAGACACAACTGAGATAGAGAATTATAGACCAATCTCACTAATGAACATTGGTGCAAAAATACTGGTAAACTGAATCCAAGAACACATCAGAAAAATCATCCACCATGACCAAGTAGGCTTCATCCCAGAGATGCAGGGATGTTTCAACATACAAAAATCCATCGATATACTCCACCATATAAACAAACTGGAAGAAAAAAAAACACATGGTGATCTCATTAGATGCTGAAAAAGCCTTCAACAAATTCAACAGCCCTTCATGATAAAGGTCTTGGGAACAGTTGGCATACAAGGAACATACCTAAACATAACAAAGCAATATACACTAAACCAATAGCCAACATCAAACTAAATGGAGAGAAATTCAGAACGATCCCACTAAAATCAGGAACAAGACAAGGCTGTCCACTTTCTCCATATCTATTCAATATAGTACTCAAAGTTCTAGATAGAGCAATAAGAGAACAAAAGATCAAAGGGATATAAATTGGAAAGGAAGAAGTCAAACTTTCACTATTTGCTGATGATATGAGTCACATAAGTGACTCCAAAAATTCTACCATGGAACTACTAGAACTGATAGACACATTCAGTAATGTAGCAAGATACAAGATTAACTAAAAAAAAATCAATAGTCCTCCTATATACAGATGATAAACAGGCTAAGAAAGAAATCAGAGAAACATCTTTTACAATAGCCACAAATAACATAAAATATCTTGGGATAACTCTATCCAAACAAGTGAAAGAGCTGTATGACAAGAACTTTAAGTCTTTGAGGAAAGAAACCAAAGACGACATCAGAAAATGAAAAGATCTCCCATGCTCTTGGATAGGCAGATTAACACAGTAAAAACAGCAATCTTACCAAAAACAATCTACAGATTCAATGTAATATCCATCAAAATCCCAACAAAATTATTCCTTGACCTTGAAAGGACAATGTTCAACTTCATATGGAAAAACGAAAAACACAGGATAGCCAAAACAACTCTGAACAATAGGGGGACTTCTGGTGGGAGTAAGTACAGACACTTTGGAAATCAGTATGGTGGTTCCTCAGAAAATGGGGAATCAATCTACACCAAGACCCTGCAATACCACTTTTGGGCATATACTGAAAGGATGCGCATTCATGCCACAAGGACACTTGCTCAACTATGTTCATAGCAGCATTATTTGTAATAGCCAGAACCTGGAAACAACCTAGATGCCCCTGATGGGGGATGTCCTTCTGTATATATGTTTCTCTTATTGGTTGATGAATAAAACACTGTTTGGCCAATATCCAATAGAGGAAGGAAGATAGGCGGGGCTAGGAGACAAGGAGGATGTTGAGGAGAGAGGCAGAGAAGTGCCATGAGAGATGCCATATAGAGACCAGGAAGATAGGATGTGCCAGGTGTTCTCTGGTAAGATAAGGCCATGTAGAAATACACAGATTAGTAGTTATGGGTTAATAATTAAGAGAGAGCTAGCCAGTAAGAAGCCCTAGCCATCAGCCAACAACTTTATAATTAATAACAGTGTCCAGGTGCTTATTTGGGGCTGAGAAAAGGAGGTGGGACCTGGTAGGACAAGAAAATTCCAGCAACATACTCCTTAACTGAAGAATGGGTAAGGAAAATGTGGTACATTTACACAATGGAATATTACTCAGTGGTTAAAAAAAATGACATCTTGAGATTTGCAGACATATGGGTAGATCTAGAAAAAGCCATCCTGAGTGAGGTAACCCAGACTCAGACAAATATATTATGTACTCACTCATAAGTAGATATTAAACATATAGCAAAGGATAACCAGCCTACAGGACACAACTCCAGAGAACCTAGGTAACCAAGAGGACCCTAAGAAAGGCATACATGGATCCGCCTAGGAAAGGGAAAAAGACAAGATCTCCTGAGTAAATTGGGAATGTGGGGGTAGGGGGAAGAGTGGGAAGGGAGAGGGGAGGAGGGAAGGGAAGTGGGGAAAAATGTACAACTCAATAAAAAAATAAAAAGAAAGGCTGGCTAGAAACAAGCCAAGCTAAGGCCAGGCATTCATAAGAAAGAATAAGCCTTTGTGTGTGATGTATTTGGGAGCTGGGTGGTGTCCCCCAAAAGAGTAAAGAGTTCAATCAATCAACAACAAGGAGAACAGATTCCACAAATGGTCCTCTGAGCTCCACACATGCTCTGTGCACATACACACCTCATCACACACACACACAGTCCCAAACACAATGAGTTACACCATGCTCACCAGGAGGGCTATAGTTTAACAAACAAACAAACAGCTTGGACACTGGACATGGTGGCTGGTAGCACAGACCTGTAACCTTGTCACCTGGGAGGGGAGGCAGAGACAGAAGTACTGCAGGAAGTTCAAGGCCAGCCAGCATAGTAAACATGAGTTCTAGACATCTAAGGTTACAAGATAACAAGACTCCTATCTTTAAAAAACTAAAATAAAGCCATAATCCTAGTACTCAGGAGGCAGAGGAAGGCAAATTTGGGTTAGAGGATAGCCTGGTCTACAGAGTGAGTTTCAGGACATCCAGGGCTAGAAAGAGAAACCCTGTCTTGAAAAACGAATAAATAAGTAAATAAATTAAAATAAAACAAAATCCAAAATAGGGCTGCCGCAGTGGCACATGCCTGTAACTCTGGCAACCAGGGAGGCCAAGGCAGAAGTATTAGTTGAGCCCTAGAATTCAGTGCTAGGCAACATAGTGAGATCTCATCTCTCACAAAATAAAATAAAAGCTAGGAAATAACAAGAATTGATGGGATGTAGAAAAAGCACTGTTAGTGGAAATTGAACATACTTTGGCCACCAAAGAAAATAGTTTGGCAGTTCTTAAAAGAGTTAAAGAGAATTCCTTATGGCCCAAAGTTTGACCCCAGGGATACAAGCAGAAAAGCTGAGCAGGCTGTGGTGGCATATGCCTGTAGTCCCAGTGCTTGGGAGGTGAAGGCAGCAGGATCAGCATTCAGGTTCTCCTCAGTTACACAGTGAGCTGAAGCACCCCCTCCCCCAGTCAAGCCCATACATGATACTTGTGTAAAGATGTTCATAGCAGCCATGTTGACAGTATCCCAGAAGCCAGCAGGTAGAAACAAATGTCTATCAATGGACAGATGGACAAACAACCGTGCACTTATAAAATAATGGGCCATAAGAAAGAATGAAGTTCTGATACATGGCATAACATCAATCAACTATGAAAAGACCAGGCTAGGTTAATGAAGTCAGATGCAGAAGATAATAATGATCCCATTTATACAAAATATCTACAATTGATTAATCTATTAGGACCTCAGGTCCATGGTTGCAAAGGGCTGTTTAATGGTCCAGGGTTCTCTTTAGGGTAATCACATATTTGTGGTTAGAGATGACAGTTGTATAACACTGTAAATATACTAAATACCTCTGCATTGTCATTTTAAAATGGCAGATTTTTTGGAAGTTATTCATTTCATGTCACATGAATTTCACTTCAACAAAAACTAAAACAACCTTGGTCTGGGCAAGTAGAGAACTTACCTAGCATTTCTGAAGCTATGAATTCAATTCCCCAGCACTGCAAAAGAAGAGACACATCCTCAGTTACAATTTACTGTAGCAAGAGCCTGGGTTTGTGAGAGCAGCCTCTAAAACTACACTTGAGAGGCCCAGGGCCTCACCCAGCTACTCTGCTGCTTCTCCTCTCATTTCCTGTTTTGGTTTTTGTCCTGGGAATGAATGCTGGGCCTAGAGCAATGGTTCCCAACCTATGGGTCAAGACTCCTTTAACAAACCTTTATCTCCAAATATATCTACATTACAATTAGTCTTTATTTCTGAGTTTTTGTTTTGTTTTGTTTCAAGACAGGGTTTCTCTGTGAAGGCCTGGCTGTCCTGAACTCCCTCTGTAAACCAGGCTGGCTGGCCTCTGCTTCCCAAGTATGGGATTAAAGGCATGTGCCACCATCACCTGGCTAACAATTCATAACAGTAGCAAAATTACTGTTCTGAAGTAGCAATGGAAAATAATTTTATGATAGGGATCACCATAACATGAGGAACTGTATTAGAGTCACAACATTAGGAAAGTTCAGAACCACCGGCCTAGAGCATGCTAGCTCTTAACACATAGCCTGTTGCTAAACTGCAGCCACCTAAGAATACAGCTCTTTAGCACTATTATTGGAGTAAATGTCTAAGTTAAATGTTAAAATACCTCATAACTGTGAGTAAATGCACAAGTAAAAGAAAGTGGCATTAACAACACTCTGAGGGCCACTTTAAATTATGGACTATCTACCACATACTCATCAGCTAGCTGGGTTATTCATTTTGCCTTTTGACATAGGGTCTTTCTATGAAGCCCATGCTGGCCTCCAACCTGAAGTTTCTGTAAGTGATGGCAGAGCAGGTGTATACCACCACACCCAGCCTTCAGCTGGCCTTCACTGCAGTGTTTAGGATCTTCCACCACAACACTTGCTGATTAGCATATTTAAAATGACATTAGTGCTCCACTTTATTTCAAGTCACACTGCTTGGTGGCTGATACACACTCTACCTTGGGATGCTTGCTTAATAGGAATGTTCCTGTAGACGGTACTCACACGAATTGGTGTTAGCATCTGTCTTCCCAGCTTTGGGATGCCTGCTTGAGTTCTGCTGAGACTTGTTCTGCTCCTCTCCAGTGAGTAGGGCCCTTATTTCAGAAGGTATTTTCCCTTGGTCCATTGCCATGCACCATTGCTTGTACTGAAATATTTAATACAGTTAAGTAAAATGCTAAGCCAGAGTTGGAATAGCATGTGTGGAAATCTTAGACATAGGAGATCCCCCGAGGGCTTGGCTGTAGGTCACTGCTAGGGTACTTGCTAAGCATGCAAGAGGCCTTGGGTTTGATATCCAGTACTAAGTGAGGGGAGACTCTCTGTAGTAAATATTCACCAAACAACTACCTGTGGTAGCTGTATACACTACTATTACATGTATGAGAACACACACACATCCTACCACAGTGTACACTATAGACTTTGGGGTATACAAAGATTCTGGCCTCAGGCAACTTATACTGCATAAGCCAAAATAATAATATCACATATAACAGACAAAATTCAGTATAAAAATCAATATCAATGTGTTACAAGAAATAAACAGAACAGCACCCATCTGGAGCATCTTAATGCCCTTATTGCTTCTTTGCTTTTGTGTATGGTAAGGCGTGTGCATGCGTGTGTGCATGAGACTCTCACTGCACACGAGTTCGGGTAGAGACTAGCAGTCCATGTTGGTGCCTTCTGAATCACTCCCCACTTATTTTTTGAGACAAGGTCTCTCCCTGACCTGGGAGCTCACTGATTGGCTAGACTGCTGGCCAGACAGCCCCAGGGACCCTCCATCTCCCCTGCCTCCAGCACTGGGATGTCAAGTGTGTGCCATTGTCCCTGCTATGTGAATTCTGGGGACTGGACTGAGGTCTTCATGCTTGCATAGCAAGTGATTCACCCAGTCATCTTCTCAGTGCTCCTTAAGAATTTTATTATTATTATTATTATTATTATTATTATTGTGTGTATGAGCTCACATGGCACAGCATTTATGTGGAGGTCAGAAGACAATGCTGTGAGCTAGTTCTCATCTCTCACCCTTATGTGGATTGAGGTTCACAGTGCTCAGGACAACAGACTTCTGTGTTAAGCGCTTTACTCAATGAGCCATCTTAGCCTCTCCCTATTTCTAAACTCTTTAGGCTGGTGTCAATTGCATGTGTAGAAGTTCTATAAGACAGCCTTGGTGGCTGCACGGGCATCAATGTCCTGTAACATCAAAGAACAGGGCTTCTGTGCTGAGGCATGGCCATGGAGAGAGGGTCTAAGTCTTGCTTCTCAGTAGTGTGAGAAAAGTCACAGGAGTTGCTAGGTGTGTTAATCTTGTCTATTTATTGTCAAATAAAACTAAAAAGCATTTTATTCAGGAAAAAAAGACAGCCTTGTGTGTCAGTCCTTCTCTTCCACCTTGAGATAGGGGTCATTTGTCATTTCCTGGTGCACATGCCAGCCTCGCTGGCCCCCGAGCATCTGGGGGGTGTTTCTGTCCTCCATCTTGCCAAGGAGCACTGGGGTTACGGATGTGACTATCCTGAGGATCTGCTCTTAGGTACTTTGCTCACTTAGTCATCTCCTCAGCCCTGTGGGTTTTATTTTTAGACAGACTCAGAATTCAGAGGCTGGCCTTGAACTCCTGATCCTCCTGTCTCTATCCCCCAAGTGCTGGAACTGCAGGCACGCACCACATGCCCAACTTCCTTCCTTTTTGAAAAGCAGCTTTGCAACAGTCATGGTGGTACCCTCTCCTCTCTCACCTGTTACCTCATCCCTGAGTTCATAGTTAAAGAGTTTTCTCTATTCTTGCGTTTCTACAATCTCCATAAACTCTGAATGCAAAGTGAATAAAAACATGTGAACACAAATGGCAGCCTCCCATGCATAATCGTGGATTGCTGTGTGGCTTTTCCCACTTAGCACCCTTCTGCACATACATGCACTGTGATTTTGGGGGCACAGGCCCTTGGTACCTTGCCTCAGCCTTCTAAGTGCTTCTCCAAGCTTGACTGCATTGTGCTCCCCCCACCTGTCACAAGTAGTCTCATATATGAATGCAGTGTGACTTATATCTAAACAATTTGCTATTGCACTTTTTTCCTTATTTGAGGATGGGTTAAGACAAGGTTTCATGTAGCTCAGACTGGTCTCCAACTCATTATGTAGCTAAAAATGACCTTGAATTTCTGATCCTCCATCCCCTGAGTGCTGAGATACCAAGCCTGTGTCATCACACCCCATTTCATGCAGTGCTGGCATCAAACTCAGAGCCTCATGCATGCTAAATAAGCACTCTACCAACTAAGCAACATCCCCATCCTTTTAACTTTCACCACACTTTCTGCACACTAGAAGAGGGCACTGGATCCCATCATAGATGGTTGGGAGCCACCATGTGGTTGCTGGGAATTGTATTCAGGTCCTCTGGAAGAACAGCCAGTGCCCTTAACCACAGAGCCATCTCTCTCCAGCCCCCATTTTTCTATCATAAACAATATCTTAATGTTCTTAATGTCCACAAGCACTGTATTAAAAAGTGCCTATGTGCCTACAATGTGGAAAAAGATTAACATGCTTTCCAATGTTTGCCAATTAGACAGTACAGACTGATGTAACTCCTGTTTTACTGTACACTCATGTTGGTCCCGTTGCTGAGACTTTACCATTTCCAGTTCCTCTCGGAGTGCACAAATAGCTCTTTCCCGGCTGGACACCAACTCCTCCAAGTACTGGTATCTCAGTTTTTTCCTGGCCCGGCATTCTCTTGCACTCTGTCGGCTCCGCTCAAGTTTTGCTTTCAAGTCAATTTTGGCTGGCTTCCGCCCTCGTTTACCAGGCTTCTTCACTTTGCCCCCAACCACCTTCAGCAAGAGAGAGGAGACATCATTTTTTTCCTTTTAGTTTTCTTTATGAAAAAGCAACTATGGCTGCCTATTAGCAAAGAGAATGTTCATAAATAATAAGGAAGTGAAGCCTACAGAGCCAAGAAAGCATAATCCTATCTCATAATCTTTCTGGGTCCTCACTTTTTTCATACTTTTTGTATCATGAATGTGAGATCAGGTATAATGCAAGCTTTTATTAGTTCTTCAATAATAATAAAATTTAAATAGTTTAACAATAAATACTGTAAGCCATATGAAGTTGGATATTTTTACAGTTTTTATGTTTTTAAATTATGTGTGTGTGTAGGTTTGTGCACATGAGAGCAGTGACGCATGGACACCAGAAGAGGGCATTGGATCCCAACAAGAGGAGCTCTGTGGCCTTTCTCGCACAGATGCTAGGATCTGAACTCATTGCCATGAAAGAGCAGAGCGGTACCTGCTCTTAACCACTGAGCCATCTCAGCAATGCTTACTGCTTCGAGAAGACTACAGCAAAATAAGTAAAAACGTTCAAAATCTGAGGCTGGAGAGATGGCTTAGAGGTTAAGAGCACTTGCTGCTCTTGTGGAGGACTCAGGTTGGATTCCCAGCATCCACATGGTTTGCTCACAACCATCTGTAACTCCAATTTCAAGGGCTCTGACACCCTCTTCTGGCCTCCTCTGTCACCAAGCATGCATGTGGTACACAGACATACATGCAGGTAAAACACATACACAGAAAATAACAAAATAATTAAAAAATAAGAATAAGTTTATCATGACATCTTTTAAAGTGGTCTGTGTATTGGTGTTTTGCCTGCATACCTTGTATAGCACATGTGTGCCTGGTGTCTGCTGAGGTCAGAAAACGGTACTGGATCTCTTGGAGCTGGAGTTACAGGCAGTTGTGTGCTGCCTGCCATGTGGTACTAGGAATCAAACCCGGGTCATCTGTAAGAACAAGTGGTTTTAACCACAGAGCCGGCTTTCCAGCTCAGTTTATCATGACTTCAATGTAAGAAAGTTAACAAAAGAGGACTTCTTTTGCTGGGTATGTATGATTATGAACAGGTTTTTAATCTCGTGTTCATTTTCAAGTTTTTTTTTCTTTTTCTTTTCTTTCTCTCTCTCTCTCTCTCTCTTTTTTTTTTTTTTTTTTTTTTTTTCTCTCCCCCCCCCCCCCCCCTTTTTTTTTTTTTTTTTTTTTTTTTCTCTCCCCCCCCCCCCCCCCTTTTTTTTTTTTTTTTTTTTTTTTTCTCTCCCTCTCTCTCTCTCTCTTTTTTTTTTTTTTTTTTTTTTTTGAGGATGGTTGCTGGGAGTTTATTCTTTGCTTGGTGCAAGGCAGAGCTATGGGTTCAGGAAAGCTCAGTACTGTGAGAGAAGAAGGGGCTCTCTCCAGTTCCTGCTGGTGCCCTTGCCTTGTAGCAGCCTGCCTAGTTTACAGGGTGGGGTGGGTGAATGGGGCCCTGGCCTAGCACCACTGACGCCTTGGTTGCCTGGTGGTTCTGCCATGTCAGGATGGGGCCTGGCCAGATAACTGGCTGCTCCTTCATGGTTTCAGGAACCAGGCACAGGTGATCCCGATTCTGAAGGACTGGGGTAGGGGGTGGGGACCATGCTGAGTGCTCAGGAAACTCTAACACTGGCCTTGGGGAGACACCAGTGGAGGGGCAAGGTGTCCCCAGGGCACTAATCATTTCTACAGGAGCTGTTGCTGGATGAGGAGACCAGGCATCGCAGATGCTGGCCACGGATAACCAGGAGCAAGCCCCTGGAAGGGATGGCTGCCATGCTTTGGAGCCTGCAGGCTGGGGATATCACAGGTTTGCAGGGGTTAGCGTGTGCTACTGAATGACCTGTGCATGCATACTTACGCACTCTCTAGTCTCAAGATGTTTAGCTTTACAATGAGATAAAATATATAAACCTACATTAAATCGAATGTAGACATAACCCTACATTAAATCGCATGTAGACATAAGCTCATATGCATCTTAAGTGGCTTAGCTATAAGCTTCCTCTTCAAATTTATTGAGTCCATAGGAAGAATCAGAAAGACCCTGAAATTTTCAGAAGTCCTTCCCTCCTGCCTTTAGAAGTCAGTAATCATTGCCCCAGACTACCTCAGGTTTCTGTTTGTTCCCATTGGTGTCACAGACTTGCACTCCAGATCTGCATTCACTAACTGCTTAGGTGCAATTATTAGGAGGCTGCCAGAGAAATTTAAACTTCTTCACTGTTTAGCTCTGAAACCAAGTCACAGTCCAGCAATGCCACCCTTCATACCTTTCTTGGGGGGAAGTCCTGTTTGGATACAGTTTTTACAAGCTTCACTACTTCAGAGCTCTTTAAATTTCTCCACTATTTGACTGTCCATCTCTTTGTCTGACAAGACTAAATGATGCCCCATTTCCCCTGAAAACCACCTCAGAGAAAAGCTGGCACTGGAGCTCAGTGACAGAGTGGGGGCTCAGTGATAGAATCCAACATTGTATAAAGCCCTAGGTTCGATTCTCACCACCACCCATACAATCACTCTCAAGAATGCACATTCATACACTCATGTACAGAATGCTGTTAAGGCAATTCTAAAAGCAAAGGTATAAAATGAAACATCAGCAGTTAATCACTGCAATAAATGTAAAACCTGCAAGGCAATAAAACGAAAGGGCAGTGCTCATTTGTTTATCTGAGATCATTAACAGTGTCACATACAAACAATGTCAGGCACACTATAAAAACAGACCACTGAATATAATGGTTACATTTTTTTAAAAAACTAAGGCCAGTGTTTGTGGCACCCACCTTTAACCCCTGAATACTAGGGGAAGAAGTAGGTGAACCTTTGTGAACTTCAGGGCTACATAGCGACCTTGACTCAAAACAAACTAAAAACTAACCAACCAACCAAAACAAATCACAAACAAACAAACAAAAAACCAAACCGTATTTATTTACTTATTGGTTCTGGAGCTCCAACCCAAAGCCTTAGCCCTAAAAACCAAAACAAACACCCTCCATACTTTAAAAACAAACGGCGCTTTTACACCGTTATCAAATTACACTTCTCTGCTTCTAGAGTCTTATAGCATAGCTTTGAAAGGAGACAGGCTACTTAATAGCTGTAGGGAAATAGTGCCATTCCCACTACCATTTTAGAAGGTAGCTATGGACTGGAGTGATGGTTCAGTGGTTAAGAGCATTGGCTATTCTTCTAGGATCAGGGTTCAATTCGCAGCACACACACACGGAGGCTTATAACCAGCTGTAACTCTAGTCCCTGGGGAATCCAATGCCCTCTTCTGGCTGATATGGGCACTGCATACACTGGATGCACATACTTACATGCATGCAAAACACAAATATTTAAAAATTTTAAAAGCCAGCTACTCTAATACTTATCTCTGGTAAGTTTCAACTTGTCAAAAATTGGCCTTTGAAAGCTTTTCTGGTCTGTACCCTCATGTTTATATTCCAGTATAACCAGAAATCTTTCCAGAGCAGAATATTTGTTAGTAATTGCAGAATGGCCTCAGTGACCTCAGCATTATGTTTATATTTCATAAACTATACAAGTTAAAAGCAGTATTTTGAAACCATCCTTCTTCAATTTGTGATTGCTACAGTTTTTAGAAAGCAATATGGAGGGCTAGGTTTGACAAAGCATTAGAGGTACAGAACTTTCCCAATATGCATATGCAATACATGGTAGATACATGGTAGAACATGCTGTGTCCAGGAGGCTGAGGCAGGAGGATGGCTTTGAGTTCATGATCTACCTCAGCTACAAAATGTGGCCCTGTCTCAAAAGATATACACAGACAGACAGACAGACAGACAGACAGACAGACAGACACACACACACACACACACACACACACACACACACACACGGAGAGGAGGAACATAGCATATGCCTATAATCTCAGCACTCAGGTAACTAAGCAAGAAGCTCAGGAGTTTGAGGGCAGCCTGGGCTTACTTCATAGTGAGACCTTATCTCCAAATGTATGAATGACACAGAGTAAAGATGCTAGTTCCATAAACTTGATGGTCTGAGTTCAATTCCATGGCAGAATAGGAGAAAATCCACTCCTAAAAAGTTGGCTTCTGAACTTCATATGCATGTCATGTCACAAGTGTCACAAGTCTTTTCTCATATACACACAAAAATTCCTTTAAAAAAGGCAATCTATGTTACAGTGTAGGCTAGTCAGCAATCACACCGTGCTATATCCACTCCTTCACCCACTGCTGTTCTAGCTAATTCAGGGATGGCTGCCTTTGAGAACAGCCGTCTGTGGCTGCAAGACAACAGAGTGTACAGCAGTCTTCTTTGAGTTCTGAATTATATCTAGCACAGTCAATACACAAATCATATCTATTTCACTTTCATAGCAAAATATGCAATTGTTGTAGTTCATTTATTTTTTTTGTGTGTGGGGGCATTTTACTTGCATGTATATCTGTGCAGCACTTATGTGCCCAATGCCTGTGAAGATTAGAAGAAGGTGGTGGGTCCCTTTGGAATTAGAGTTAGAAGCAGGTGTATGAAACCTGAGTCCTCTGGAGGAGCAGCCAGTGCTCTTAACTGCTGAGCCATCTCTCCAACCCCAGCCCAGGTATTCCTTTCTTAAAGTTGAAAGGCACAGTGAATTAACAGGGAGACTCTGTACTTTTCGTTATCAATACAATTAGATTTAATGTCATATAACCACTACTTCTCTAGCGTAACTGCTTCTGCACTGGGCCAAAGTGTCTGCTTTTTGTAGCAGCCACGGTATAGTACTTAAGTATACCAGTGTACAGTGTACACTGTACCAGTGTACAGCAGCCTCTGGCTGCTGTGGGCACCTGCACACACACGTGTACACCCCTACACAGACACACATGTACACACCCCACCCCTACACAGACACACATGTGCACACCCCTACACAGACACACATGTGCACACCCCTACACACACATACATGCACAAAATTTTAAAAA